TTGGATCCACCTATGCCACCAGCTCCCATGGTCCTCATCAGCTGCATGAGCCTAAGAAATCTATCTACGGCTGCACAATGAATTGGGTTAACAAACTGACCCATGCTGCTTATTTTCTCTTTTTCCCTCTGGGTTATTATTTTCAAGCCACACCAGTTCACAACCACATGCACATCAGAACAACTAGGAGAAGGCAGAAACACAAGAATGCCTCTGGGAATGACAGAACGTGGTAATGAGCAGTCAGAGAATTCTACCTAACAAAACCTTCTCCCAAAAAAATATTACCGTGGAAGTGCAGCCTAAGATTACTTGACAGCACACATCCTTCCATCTCCAATACCTTTCACTGTGTATGTTCTCCATAGTGAAATAACTGTGCAGTCTTCCACCAGGGACCCCAAAAAAGCCTAACCAAAATATGTATTGTTTTACTTTTCAGGACTGTGTAATTTCTTTCCCTCTTTTTTAAGAGTAGTGAATTTAGTTTTGTTGTTTAAAATGGAGCAGTATGTAAGGCCATATGCAATTTTTGCAGGGGAAAAAAATAATTTCTGCAACACTTCACTGTAACAAATACAGTTTGCATTTGTGAAACACACTATAAAACTAAGGAATATCCTTAAAGATTTAATCTGTTCTCCTTTAGTCATGCTAAATGACAAGTGCAACTGAGGACTTCCCCCACTGCTGTCAATTCATATTCCTCAGATTTCTAGAAAACCAATTTAAAAAAATTAGCACACATCCAATCCAGGCACATTATCTATCTGAGAGATCAGAAACAAGATGTCCATCTCAGCATGTCACTATTGTCCACTATAATTTAGACGTTCTTCAAAATGCATTTGTAACCAGGAGGGTAATAGCCCTTACATTAAAAAAGCCCTTCATTAAGTGGCTCCCCCATCACACAGCCCATTACAAGCTCTCATGCCCTGACCTTGCATAGCCTCAGAGTAATGTTGCTTTTAACAGCAAACCAAACAGGGTAAATAAGCTATCTTGCTAAAGGTAAAACCATCAGTAAAAGTATTATTAATATTGATAAATCCCTCTTTGCACATCCCCAATGATATAAGAAAGTGTTATTATTTACTTTGTCTCCTGCAAAATTAAGTTATCCACACACGATGAATAATCCCCTAAAATAACTGGAAAATATCCATCGACAAAATTGGATTTCATCTTAATAGCATTCTCTAATTTCTCTCTTGTATAGTATAATGTATAAAAATCATACATATGAAAACATAATACACACTGTAGAGGGTTTGCTTCAACATCTAGAGCATGTCTTTCTTCAGAAGTACAAAGACCACCAGGTAAATATTTGACTTCATTTTTGTCACCACATCTACAAAAATTTAACACTTGGTTACCAGCACTGCCTAACACAACATGCAAATCCACAGTTGTGGAACCATTTCCACATATGGAACAATGCAGTAGTCTTAAACCATTTAACCTAGAACGATGTCCAGAGATGGGTGTATCTTTTATTTAAAAGGTATTTTTTTACAAACTGAATGGGGTGGAGAAGATGATTAATACTCAGATCTGCTCACTTCCTGTACAAAGAGGCCAACATGTATCAAACATAAGTTATGTGCAAGTCCAAAACAAATAAGAGCTGCATTTCTCCATGATTCATAACAAAACCTTGCACTCGGTTTTAGGACACAGCAGATGCTACAAGGCTACAAGAAGCCCACATACAGGAAGACAAAGCTGACAGAGCAAACCCATGAATCCATTGAGAACATCACTAATAAAGACTGTTTCTAGCTGAGAACATTCCTAAATGCCAGACAGCTGGGAAACAGGAGAGCAGTCAGGGCATGATCAGCACTCATTTGTCCTACCTCTGCATTCCTCCCTAGGCAACTGCTAATGGCTATACTCAAAATCAGCAGACCTTTAGCTTGATCTAGCACAGTTGCTTTTATATGCTCTTAGAACGCTAATGTTGGACATCCGGTGTTTTCCAAGGTCTTAATAAGTAATCCAAAGGTTTTATCATGTAACCTGCAGTTCAGACAATTTACGAGTTGGTATTTAAAGCTGTACACAAGCGCCTGCTCTAAGTGTTCACTTTATTTCGAAATTAATCATTATGTACTGCATTTATTTTTCCCATAACAAAAGATAAGTGGTTTTTGTTTCTGCTCACAACTTGAGAAATACAATGTAGGTCAGTCTAAAAAAATATGAAGTTGCACTAATTACTCAGAGGTAATTACACTTGCTTCACCAATAGCATTTACTATTGCTACACCTGCAAAATGTTTTCCATTAGGACAAGTTTTCATCTTTTCATAGCACTCTGAAGCATGTGCCATTAGGTTGAAAATTTCCCCATGATTTATCATCCCTCTCCAAAGCACATTGATTTAAACCACCACCACCTCTTAAATCAAATGTAAAACATTAACTCAACTGTGAATTTTTTTCCCTTTTCATATTTTTTTACATGTGCTTTTCTCTCTCGCACTTTTTCTTGTAGGAGTTTGGGGTGTTTTGTTGTTTGGGGTTTTTCTTAATATGACTTTCTGAAGCTACTGGAGACTAAGAACTGACATTTGAAAGTTGAGTACAATCCTCTATGACTACAATGTTTCTGTGCAAATCTGGAAACGTTAGAGCCCTGAAAGCTGCATACTCCCTATAGGGTGTTATCTTTTCATCACAGCAGTAAAACAGTGCTCCTCCCTAGACATATCTATACCAGAACCTCCATTGTATTCTATTCCAAAGAGATGCAAAAGATAAGGGCTCCAAACACTACAAAGGATGTCTATGTAGAGGACACCAACACAAGCATTAAGGAGTTTTGTGCCTAGCTGAAGGGGTTATAAAGCCTGAGGAGATGGAAAGAAAACAGTTCCTACCCTAGGACTACAGTTTCTTTGCTCCTTAGTTTTTCTGGGTATCCCTTCCCTTCTCTGCTCTCACTGATTGACAGAACAGGAAAAAGTGGTCCTTAGGAGATTCCTGGCTTCTATGGGTTATGAAACACAGCATTTTTCAAAGTGAAAACAGCAGTAGTTTAATTTGACCTATACTTTCACTAACATACCTTATTCTGCTAGTATAACTCCCTTATGATCAGTGGAATCCTTTTGAACTTACAGCTTCAGCAGTAATCAGGGAGGGTCAGCAATGTTAAAACACTGCACCCCAGATGATCGCACACAGTTATTTCCCTTCTGCTTTTGCCTGAACCTCTTGCTGTTCCACTTCCTGCAGACCCATTGGAGTTCAGCATACATTTTAGAATCATGCTTAGGCTTTAAAATCATGCTATTTCAAACACAAATGAACTTAAATATTTAGATACAGCATGGATCATCAGAATCCAAAGACTGCAAACTTCTTTGATCAGATGACACTGCTCAGTTTTAGTCTGGATCTCAGTTACCAAATTTGTCAATAGTGGTACAAGAAGTCCAGCATTCTAACCAGGGGAAGAATAAAACCAAACAATTAGAGCTTCTTCAGTATCTGTTTTGGACTATCTCTGAAACATTCCTTTATTCTGCTAGATTTTATTCAGCCACAATCGCACATACAGATGAAAAAAAAAAAAACAAAACCAACCACAAACTTCCTCCAGATGAGTCCACGTGCTAAAGCTGGAGAAAAAGAGTCTGTAGCAGAAATGAACAGAAATCATGTGCCAGAGAGCACTGTGTCATTTTACTGTGAAAACTGCCCAAGGATGACAGGTATGTTATTTGGGATAAGCAAACAGAAGCTACCTTGGATTCAGATTCATTCAAAATACAATTCCTCAAATTGCTCTTCTTCCTACACAAGGTGTGTCTAAGGTCTAAGAATACCGATGTTTTACAAAATGGTGCTTCCATCACAATTAAGATACCTCCAACCTTCATAACAAACCATATAGACTCTGAAAAATGCAGACTGAAAAGTAATTTCAGCCTTCCTAGGGGAGATATTGTTTTGAATTTTTTTAATAGAAGACCATCACAAATGCTGAGGTTTCAGGCTTAAAAGTTACTCTTCCTTATGCAAGCTGAAGTACTAAGAAGTCCATTAAATGAAGTGTAGATCTTTCTTAATTACCCTATTTTGCAAGATATGGTAACAGCTGCTCATAACAGTGACTCTAAAGCAAGGAGAATCCAGGTAGTTAGCAGTTAAGAAGTAAAATTGCATAGATTGACCACCATTAATAATGCACAACAATATATAAAAAGCAGGGGAAGGAATAGTGCAGAGGTGAGGTTACTTCTGTGTGGCAACATTTCTCACTCCTTCTCCACATGTACCTCACTTCACAAAACCTCTTCGATACAAATAAAATAGCCATGACCTTTTTTCCTCCTCTGCATGATTAATTACTTAATGTATTATTAATTGGAAAATGTAGCTGAATTTCAAATGCTTTCATTCTCTCAGCATATCATGCTGTCTGGGAAGCACCGATTAAGCTGTTCATCAAAGGTGAACAGGCAAGGTCATGTAGGCTGTACCTCTTCTGTTATTCATTACCTGTCCTAAATAGTAATTAACAACAGCAATATTTCCATAAATCAAAGCTTTTCTGATTACCTTCAGATGATAAGAGGTTGGGGGGAGGGGAGGGAAGAAATCAGTGTACAGGGTTTTTGCATGTATCATTTTTTCACCATTTCTTCTAATGCCTATCTGAATAATTGAATCGATACATTAGCTGTCATATAAAACACAGAATTTGACTGTGAGTCAACAGGAATTCTACACAGCATAAAGAGAAGGTTATAGCTTCCTTTCTCCCTCCTCTATGCACCCACAACTTTAAAGAGGGATTTGAACTAAGAAGGCTTCTCAATTACCAAGACTGTTATATTTATTTTGGATTTTTTTTGGTTTTTTTAACACCTCCAATATCAAGGTTAACATGGAAATCACAGAATATGGCCTTGAGGCCATATTTAGTAAGGCTCCAAGTTTCTTAATAAACTTATCCCTTCAGTATCTGTGGAGTTTCTCACCTTGAGGCATTTCAGGTGGCAAATAGTGAGGCTCTTGAGCGCTGACATGTACCCAGTCGAAATCATCATACAAGTCCTGGTGGTAGTCACAGGGCCCAGGACCATCATCGAATGTGCATCCCCCTAGAAAATAAACTTATTATTAGGGATTTTTTTTTTAAAGCAAAGATCATTCAAAAGTCAAGCAGGGGTGCTCCTCCTGGGCCCAGCACACCTACGGTGCCCACAGAGCCTGTGCCACGGTTCACAGGCTCGCATGTGCAAAGATAAAACCTGCAAGCAGCTCATTCATCAGTGTTCCCCTCTTTTTTAAAACCATCACTACTTCTCAGAACCAATTTTCCCCAAGAGCACCTTCTGTCAGAGCAGATCAAAGCCTGAAGTCACTCAGTCCAAGTGAAACTTATCCCAGGGTCTATGTCACAAAAAGCAACACCATGGGACAAACTGAAAATAACAGACCACGCTCAAAAATTAAAGATTAAAATCAAAAACTCTGATGCACTGAAAGCATAAGTAGTCCAAACACGGACAACAAGGATAAGTACCGTGCCCAAAACAGTCAGACAAAATAATTAAAATTACTTAGAAATGAAATAACTTCTGCAGATGAATTGGATAATCTTGCATTCCTAAATCCAGTCTAGCATAACGAAACACAAATTAAAGGCACTTTTTCAGGGTCACACAAACAACAGATATGATAACCTCAAAACAAATGTTGTGAGGAGAAGTGACAGGGATAAATAAGAATGGGAGGAATGTAAACAACAGGAGAGGAATAAAGAGCCAAAATTCCCATATAATACAGTAATGTCTGCCCTGTCTCATTCAGAAAGGTTTTTATTCCATTCCTAACTCAAGGCCATTAAGTAGGCTGGGGAAAAAAAAGAGAAGAAAGCATGACAATTACATAAAGATTTGAGAAAGAAGAAACAAAGGAATCATAGGAGTCAGGTCAAAGAAAAAGCAGAGCAAGAAGGCAAGAAAATACAGATGTCATGCATACAATTCTGCAGCATCTGTTATCTTTATCCATGATACGCAGCCCTTGAGTTTGCTGCGTATCATGCTGCGTTTGCTCAGAAACAAAAGGCAATACCAGGAGGGAATGAAGAGTAAACAGTGCATTCATCATTATTTAGGCAGTAGTTTTTAATACAGAAAAGAAGTTATATAAGAACTCAAGACTTAGATTATAGACAATCCTTGGAAATCAGGGCAGGTATTTCTTGCATCCTTTTCTCCCCATCCTCAGTAGTTGAGGCATATCAATCCAATTAACAGCTCTAGTTGCAACCAAAATTCCTCTTGTTGAGACTTCTAGAATAACAGGGGCATTTGCATTGACTATGTTGCCTGACTCTAAGTACAAATTACAGAACAAGTACTGCAAGTCCCAAGAAAAAACAAAAACCCCTTATTACAATAAATTCTAGAGTCACAGTAAGATCAGTCACCACCACAGCACCAACAGCCAACAGGCTCTCACCAGCTCACACTACACTCCAGAGGAGAATGGGCTGGAGGTGGGAAAAGGGCGATTGAGGACCGTCAAGAACTACAGCCTGTATTCATTTCTGCCCTCTGTACAAGACATATGTGGTCTGCAACTCAGAAAGGCCAGAGAACAAGGAAAGGAGGAAGGGGCTTGTATGCCACCAAATTGAGGATAAAAATATTTTTAACCTACCAAAACAGAATATCAAATATCATGTAACAGGCAGAGAGTTTGCACAGTGTCCATATTTAAGGAAGGGGAAGTTCTTTTGACTAAATTTCATCAGCAAATCTATGCTGTGTCCCACACCATTTCATTTCCAATCAGGAGCAACTCAAATAGTTCCCACAGTTCTACATAAGCATTTGCTGTTTTGCATAAATAACAAAACCAAATTTTAGCTAATCCTACATCACCAAAAAACATTGACAGATACATTTCCAGGCCCTCCCAGAACTACCTGTTAACCAGTGTTTCAGCCGGCAAGGACAACACCAAGACAGAAAGAAAATTCTAAACTGTAGCCAAATTTCTTCTAAATCCTTGTACTGTAGAACCTTACAACTTCATATTCATCTCCATGTTAGCACAATTGGCTCAAATGTCACTCTCTGACAACATAGGCATAGTATCAACAGCAACAACAAAAAAAGCTCCAACATTTCATACTCTATACTAAGTTGGTTACTACATCAGTGTCACTGATGCATCCTTTTCTCCCCAAGTATTTCTTGTGCAAGGCACAAGAAATACTTGCCCATCAGAAAAACATTTATACTTTTCAAAGTTTCAACTCCAGTGCCCTCTGTTACTACTGAGAGATTTTTCTAATTAACATCTATTATGACAAAGCCAAAAAGGCTTAGAACATAAATCTTGGGGTTTGATTTAACTTACAATACACTTCTACAATCACGCTATAGCAAAAAATGTACATTTTCTTCAACATTTAGTTGATAAATGAATCACAGTTTCCCTTAAAGGGAAGTTATCAGTCTGCTGTCCCAGCACCAAAATGACATATGGCTTTGAAGCACACGCCTGCAGGGCACCCATTACCCTTCTTAATGGTTTAAGTGCCCTCAGTATATAAATTTAAACTACCAATGAATCTTGTAGACTCATTTGGAAGATGTATGCCCTTAATTGCTTGTCTTTGTGCCCACTATTAATTTTAGTTATCAGGGTTCTGATTAGTAATAACAACGTGTCTGTTAATACACAGCAAGCAATCCAAACCTCCTTGTGTGCACATCATGGTTGCATCTACAGAACAAGCAAGTGTGCATTTATCACATGCATATGAGCAAAGTTTATCAGGACAGATTATCAACCCACTACAAAATCGACCCTGTAACAATGGCATAAACCAATGGCTTCCTCTCATGGAGCACACCATATGCTCTTACCAACATACTGTGACATTTCAAGGCAACTAAAGTAACTGCCAATGTTGTAGTGATTTATCCAGTATAACACAAGACAGATCGAGCATTTTAAACCCCCTGCAGACTACTCCTTATGACTTAAACCATGAGCAAATTCACACCTCCCTTTCTCTGTTTCAACAATCAATTGCCTGCATGCTATTTCAGTAACTCCAGGTACTAAGAGAGAAACCTAGTGTAACATGCTGTGTGGAAAACCCAAGGACAAGAGATGGCGAGTGGGCAAAACCTGCAGTGATGTATTTTGTTCCCAGACATTGATTCAAAATGTAAATAGTTTTGAACAAAACTTGAACCACTCAAACATAAAACCATATCTGACAGAAGTACACCGTAGGTCAGGACTTGTTAGCACCCTAATTCAGCTACTGGGTCACTCTCCACAATAACATAACAGCACTATTCAGGGAAGAAAGTGTATCAGCTTGATGAATACCATCCAATGAAGCTCAACAGCTGAACTTAAATACCCATCCATATCTGTTGCCTAACATTTTGACAACAGTCTGCTAATATCTTACAAATGAAAAGTTAGAAATCTCTCACTAAGCCATTTCTAACTTCCCCCAAAACTCAATAAAAGAGTACTTCACCACCAACCACTGCCCCATTACATATCACCATCACATTCCTTTACCTACAGCTGATGTATAACCTGAAATTTTTCTTCAATATTACCCTGCTACTGGAATTTGTGCAGGGTATCAACACACACATGGTGACATAAACAATGATTTGTGCAACTCTGCTCAGTCTCCTGACTAGAAGCACACAGGGCTGGCATTCAAATGCTCTTGGACCTTGCAGTACCTAAACCCAAGCTTAACTTAGATTTCTAATATCATGCTTCTGGAAAAGGTGGCAGCAGCAGCGAACAAAGCAGTATACCAGACTGGTCCAACCTCAACAGCCTGATATGGGCCTAGGCACTGGGATGCAAGGCATCCAGCAGCATGTCCTATCAAGATGTGGCCCTGAAGAGCCGGATGGAGCAGTATCAAACAGAGCCATGATTTGCCACATCTGAGGTGGCAGAGTCCATCAAGTGACCCTCAACAATCAAAGAGAAACAAAGAGTGAAAACCAGGTAGTCCATCAGAACCAAAGATCCCATCAAGAACTGGAGTTATAAACTGAAGACAAAAAGAATTTTAAGTGTGTATGGTTTTGTTGTTAAACTACTAATTGTATTTTGGGTCAAATTTCTTCAGTTGCTGAGGAAGTATTTGGGAAACCTTTACATTCCACAAAAACAAAGCAAATCAATGATTCACTGTTTCCATTATCTTTTCCCATAAGCTTCACTACTGTGGGGAGTGGCCTGGCTGCTTTCAGCAAGGCTCCAGCATGTCTGGGCTAGTCAGGGGATGTGTTAGGACTTGTTGCCTGAGGGCCTTGGGAGGAGTAGGTGTGGAGATGGGACCCCTGAACAGAAAGCGCTGCGTGCTGGCTCACCAGCCCCCAGTTGGGATGTTGCTGGGGTAAAACAAGTTGTTGTGCCTTAGGTTTACCAGTTGGTACACGCCTAATGTTTAGAATAAGCCAATCAGCAGGGAATATGCTAAGCAAAGGGACTATAAGGATCTGTGAAAAACAACAATAAACGGACATGTTGCTTGCATCAAGCTGCATCCCGTCTCTCCATCGCGGCACACTACATTACCAACTTCAGCTTAAACAGGCCTAGAACTCACATTCCTCTTCAATGTCCTTCTAAAAGACAAGTAATAAATCATACTAGCCTCAAAAAATTTCCTGCCTCCCTGTCCATTTTCATTTATAAAAGATAAAGAATCTTAAATTTTCATTATAAAAAGAAAGATTAATATCCCACATTGAACTTTCAAAAAATAAATTAAAGCTCCACTAAATAACAAGGTCATCAAGATTAACCTAAATTTAATCTTAAAACTAATCTTAACGTGCCAAAAATGAACCTAAATTGAATAAAGATCATACAGCCAAGGTTTACGCATCATCTATGGTGGTGGGCTGACCCTGGCTGGACACCATGTGCCCATGAAAGCTGCTCTATCACTCTCCTCAGGGGAGAGAAAAATACTATGAAAGACCTGTGGGAAAAGGACAGAGAGAGATCACTCACCAATTACCATCACAGGCAAACCAGACTCTTTGAAAAGAGTAAAGTCATTATCTCCTCTCCCTCAGTGGTG